CCAGTTGAGCCAGCCGCCTGTTGTAAAGTTTTCTGGCAGCCGGGGCAGAACCATAGAGTGGGAAGAGCACTCCCAGAGCAGCCACTGCCGGAAGAGACTCTGCCCTGGCTCCTGGAAAACTTGGTGGCTGGCCCGACCGGCCTCTTCCCTGCTTCCAGCAGCTTCCAGGACATGTCATATTTTCGAGGAAATACGGTATTGATGTATGTATGTATAGATAGCTTGGTTCCATACTGAATCACAATAATATTATGTACTCCAATATAAAACCTCTGGTTATGTTTTGATTATTTTTTTGATAGCATAGCCAATGTGATGGAATCATATTTTTCTTCAATTACAGAGATATTCCCCGGGTCGGCACTCACGTTCCCCGGGTCGGCACTCACGTTCCCCGGGTCGACGCTCACGTTCCCCGGATCGACGCTCACGTTCCCCGGATCGACGCTCACGTTCTCCGGGTCAGCGCTCACGTTCTCCGGGTCGGCGTTCTAGAAGTCAACACTCTGAATCTTCAGTGGAACAGAATTTGCGGATCACTGTTGGCAATGATCGTTATGGTATTGATACACCTGAGAGAAAGAGGTTATGCGATAGACTGGGCTCACCAGTTGACAGCCTGAGTGATATGGATAGGTAGGTTTTTTAAAGGCTTGTTTCTCACATCCATGCTTGATATAAAATACCACAATCTTATAAGACGTAATGAAAAATAACATTGGCCAAGCTGTATTGAGAATTGTAGATCTTGGAGAGAGTATTTAGTGTACTTTCTCAGACTGATATTTCATAATTCCAAAATGAATATTTCTCAATTTCAAAATGAATATGACAACTCATTCATATACCATTACAAAAGTAGTAGTGTTAGTAATACAGTAATGTAGTATTTCAATAAACTTCAGTACATTTAAAAAGAATTTAATAAAAGAATATATGTGTAGTATAATCAGTTGTTTGACAAAGTTCAAAAGAAAATAACATTTTTGGTATAATATCAGTATTTGGATTTTCATTAAGGATAGATTTGTCTCTTTTCTGTACATTAATTAAAAGATGAAAGCAAACATTCTGTGGTATAATAATATATATTCACATTTAATGTTTATATTTAATGTTCTTTGTATGGGTAATACCTCAGTCATATTAAATATGTGGAATGGGTTATCAGTCACATACAATGTATATTTTTGGGTTGATGGGTATATTTGGAAGTTTAATAGTATATTAAGAATGCTAAGCGAAATAGTTATTGTGGGAGATGGGGCTTGACTGTTCACAATACAATGGTCTAAATCAATGTGGATGATTGTGTTTTCATTTGTACGTTGCTTTTCATTTTGGGGAGAAATACCCTGCAGTCTCTATGGCAAGACTTGGTTCATTCCAACAACTCTCTGACTCTCTGCCTACCCAAATTTTCATTTTAACTGGTTGAGTAACAAAACTCTCAGTTTCAATAAACTTTGGTTCAGTTTATGCCATGATTTAACCTTTTTGGATGATAGTTTAAGATATCAATTTACTCAAAAGCAAAACGGTAAAGATGCTTCATGTTTCCTTTTACAGCAGCAGTTCTCAACCTGTGGGTCGGGACCCCTTTCGGGGTCGAACAACCCTTTCATAGGGGTCGCCTAAGACCACCGGAAAACACATATTTTTGAAAAAATATGGAAAACATAAAATAATTTTATGTTTGGGGGTCACCATAATATGAGGAACTGTATTAAAGGGTCGCGGCATTAGGAAGGTTGAGACCCACCGTCTTACAGGATGCTCCTTACCACTCCCAAATTATCTTTGTCTTTTCTGTAGGAAGTTGTGCAAATGAGGCACTGGGCTCTGTTAGGTTGTATTTTTAATTTTCCAAAAATGAAAATAATTTTTATTTAATAAATAAATATTAATTTATTTGATTTGTTTTATTTTATATAATTCATTTCATAATTTTCTAAGTACAAAACAATAGATTGTAAACAGCATTCACTCTATTAGCAACTATGTAAGTAGTTAAAATGCACTTAAAATATTTCTGTATTTTGACGAATGAACAAAATTATTTGTTGATGGAAGTTGTTTTTCATCTTTAATCAACAGTATTTTTATAAAATTTCTTGTTTTTATCAAGTGGATTCTTCTCTAAGAAGTAAGCATTAAAATAAAATGTGGAACTGAAACCATTTTTTTAACTTGACAAGATGGGGGAGAAAAATGAAGAAGTGCTCTTTTAAAGAATTTCCTGGTGAAAATTTAGGAACTAAAGTTTACTAAACTTACAGGTGCAAAATCTTATGTAGAAAATAGATTACAGTTTAACAGAATTCAAACATCCTGTTTTTGTAAACTAATATATGAGTTGTGTTTCATCTGCAGATGCTTTTTACTATTAGCAATTTTCTATTTGCAATAAGATTATAGATATGCAAAATATATTTAGAAAAAAAGAATGTTTGGAATAGCATGAATCTGATATAATGATAAAATATTTCCTTTCCATTTGAACACTGAATAACACGATGCATTTGCAGTGAAAGCTGTTTGGTGATCTGTAATCAGATGTGCATTCAGATAGAACTGTCATTTAACATATTTCAGTGCTGAAAATGAAAAACCCTGGTCCCTGGGGAAGGTTTTATTTCTAAATCAAAAGGGCTGATTTTCTGTTGTTTTTAAACATGCATGTAATTCTTGACTTATGATCACAATTGAGCCACAAATTTATATTGCTAAGCAAGACAGTTGTTAAGTGAGTTTTGCCCCATTTTATGACCTTTCTTGCCAGAAATGTTAATTGATTCACTGCAGTTAAGTTAGTAACAGGGTGGTTAAGTGAATCTGACTTTCCCACTGACTTTGTCAGAAGGTTGCAAAAGATGATCACATGACCCTGGGGATGCTGCAGTGGTCATGAGTGCAATAAGTCACAAGCAGTGTTGTAACTTTGAAAGGTCGCTAAACATTTTAAGTTAAGGACTAGCTATACAATACAGGTAATCCTTGACTTCTAACTACAAATGGAATGGAACTGCTATTGCAACTCATGGTCATAAGTCGAGTGAATATATGATAATTTTTATGGTGGTTGTTCAGTGAATCACCTCAGTTGCTAACTGAATCACATAGCCAATAAGTGAAAATCCCAGGGTTTTTTGCCAGAACTTGGCAAAAAGGTTGCAATCGGTTTTAAACATAAATGCCTGTTGCCAGACATCTGAATTGTGATCACATGATCATGGGGCTGGTGTGAGAGTTGTAAATGTGAATACAAGACATAAAGTCAGTTTTTCCGAGCCCATTGGTAAATCAGCAGTCATAAGTTGAGGTCCTGTAAAAGTATAAAATTAGAACATGTTTGTGAGATACAAAAATTAAGAAAAAGTTAGAAAAACTAGATTAAAAATAAGGAAGCTATAACTGAGTATTCAGCACATTACAATATTATAGGTTCCTGTTCAAGGCATGAATGAATTAGTCATGCTGTCTTTCATGATGTTCCTGATTAGTTTGTTTGTTTTGCAAAATGGTCAGCATATTGCATCCATTGAGCATATTATGCATCAGTGTGGTATTCAATGGGGTAATTCTGTTGAGACAATAGACTTTTCTTAAACCTATTGATGTTTTATAAACACATCTGCATACTATAATGATCCATGTGAGGAAAATAATTCTACTAAATAGGATATTTCTATTGTATGCCATTTGAATTATATTATTCTAAAGGAATTTTAATGTTAACAATTAGGGATACAAGTTGCAAACCTTTTCCAACTGTTACCCTAAAAGACTGATTTGAAAAAAAAATCTTTGTAGTTTTAGTGGAATATATAATAGTTATTCCAGTTAAAGAAAATTCATTCATTTGAGTATTTTGAGTATATATATTTTTTTGAGTATTTTATTGTCACTTATAGGCCGCCCTTTTCCCTGAGGGGACTCAAGGCGGCTTACAACTCATGGGAAGGGGGTGC